GTTGATTATGAAAGGATGAACAAATTTGCATGTAATTAAACAGTGTTCTGGGTTTGCATAGCGATTAGAAATGAAACATTTTCTAAACTTGCATTGTTATGGGATATATTTGTTCGGTTCGTAATGTGGAAGCAAATTTTTATTAAGTTAGAAGGCATATTTTGGAAATGACGGCCATTTTTGAATTGTCTCTATACTAGTATTGTGTGTTATCTTTTCACCCTGTTTTCATTTTTGAATTTTGACATTTCGTGACAGATATTTGCAGTAGAGGAACATCAAGAACAGCGCAATAGTGAAGGAATTAGAGAACGACGAAGAGAAAATCGTCGAAGAGACTGGTAAATTTTCGCACCGTTCGATTTTTCAAGCATTAATCCTTCTTGCAGTTTTCCTCGATTCGATATCTAAATCAAACATAGATTAGTGAAATTTTTTGCTAAAATTAATTGTCGTTAGATTAAATTAACCAGAGCACAAAATGGTATTTGCATGTGTTTTTTCTCACATTATTTGTGCAGGCGCACTTTTTTATTGCGTTTTGAATAATTTTTGAGGCACTGGAGAAAAAGCCCACCAGCATGTTGTGTTGCACCATCAGATGTTTATCGAATGCCACTCGCATATTTTAGAGGAGGTGGACGTACGTTTTTCTTTTTTTGTTAGCCTTTCTTAATTTTCATTTCAGTCACTTTTCTTATTAATAGACCAAAGTTTCGATATTTTTAGGAGGAAGATCCGATCGTTACCGTGGTAGTGGACTCCGTGGTCGTAGCAAAGGACCGCAGAAAAATGACCAAACAAGCTGACATTTGGTCTGACTAGCTGATAACTTTGCGAAATATTTTATAAGTTTGTACGCTCACCTCAAAGCTTGTTTTTAAAATTCTGCATTTTGTGAGTGATGGAACTGTTTTGATATTTAGAACGGTCGACTTAAATTTGTGGTAAAATCCCTAGCAATGTATTCTACATTTTTTCCAGTTATATTTTTATAAAAATTTTTAAAGTGATAATACCCTTATTAGGCTAATATGGCTATTTCGTATGTCTAGTTTTTTAAAGACATTTATATCTTGTATTTCATTTTCAGTCTGTTCCTCATTGTGAATTTGTCTTGTCTTATCAGATTGTAAGATTTCAGTTTTTTCTTTCGGCAGTGTTTTTTCCTGCCCGTATAATTTATTCGTTTTTCTATTCAATTTTTTGTTGGTTATGGGATCATTCGAGTTTAACACATATTTTTATTCCTTCTTGTTTTATATGTTTTTTCGTACAGAATTTGCTGTGTTATCCTTGCTAGATTTCCTATCTTATCTGTGGATTCTGTTTATTTCTTCCTTAATTTGATCGCGTTTTAGTCTTTTATTCCCATTTCTTTTTCTCAAACTGTGTTTTTTTTTCCTTTTTTTTTTTTTTTAAACTGGAAGTATTTGGCGGTGATTTAAGTAAAGATCATCCACATTTTAGTGATTTACGTCCATTCTGTGTTTTATATCGTTATCTAAAAATTTATCTTCATATGCCATGGAAATAGTTTTCCGATTAACAGTAGTATATTTCAGTTTTATTACATTACATATAATTACTAATAACTAATTAATGAACCGACTAAATGCTGTATAATTAAACTGTCGACTACTTTTTTTTTTCCTCGGGGTTGTAGAATTTTATTTTAACGAACTTCAGATGGTGAAGATTTCCTGAGTTTGTTATGAAGTATCCGTTTTGAACAGATTGCGAACGAATTTCTCCTGGAATATTATATTTTGACCATTTCGTGTATTTCATTAGGCTTCATACATATTCCAGCTTTTGTTTCACTCAATTTCGATCTAACATTCTTTTCTTACCAATGAAACAGAATTTCTGATATATCATTTTCTTTATGTTTTCTTTTCATTTATCTTGGTTATTTCGTTTGAAATTATCTTTTTTTTTTTTTTTTGATCTTTATTTTTTGACTCAACAATCGTTTTGAGGTTTATTTACTTTTTTTTTTTTTCTTTTTTTTTTTGTTATATTTGTAATTTAAAATTCTATTGTATCTCATCTGGTCCTTCTTCCTTTCTGTTCTTCATCGGAAACATTATTTTGAGAAGGAATTGAATTATTTCTTGCCACCATTAGCAATATTACTAATCCAAGAAGTAGTCTTTAACGGTGCCAAGTTTATATTATTCATCACTGTATAGTACGGTGCATGACCTCTTCTCTTTATCATTAACCTTTTCCCTCTTCCTTTTCTCTTCTTCATTTGTTCCTTTTTTTTTTTGTTTTTTTTTTTTTTTTTTTTTTTTTTTTTTTTTTTGTTTTATTTATTTGTTTGTACTTAAAATAATAAATAAACTTTTTTTATTGTTTCAAAAAAATAAATAATTTTGTTCGTATTTAAAGTAAATGTATGACAAAGATTTTTTAAATTTGATCTTCAAGTTCAAAGGTTATTTTGAAGTTAGAAGTACTTCTTTCATTTTGGAAATTATTTGATATAGATAATGAAATTAAGGAGGATTATTTGTATTTATATGTTAAACTCATTATCTAGAGTAAGTGATAAGTTGATATATGAAATGAACAGTGCAGTGACTTATCGGAGTATAGTGATAGATGTGATAGCATACTTTTGGATTGAATATTACTTAGACTAAAAGACTAAACATAGAGGACCAATGATAAAATTGTTAGAAGTTTGATTAATCATTGCAGATTTCACGGAATAAGTTAACAATTAAAGTTATCATCGTTAAAGTAGTCCAAAATGATTGATCATGCAACTTGCTGATAATGATAATAATTTGCTTATTGATGTTTATGTTGTATAACTAACAATACTGTTGTTAGTATTTGCCAATTAACACATTATGGAAATTAATTAAAAGTGCTAATGTTATGTCATATGTTGATAGATTATGATGTAAAAGTGAAAATGATTTTATATTAATGCTACATTTGTTTACAATTATAATATACTGATAAAATTTTATTTCCATTTAACGATATCTCTTCAATTTGAACATAAAGTTATGTTTTATGAAAAAAAAAATCTAATTCTGTCATAAAAATTTCAAATCGAATACAAAATTTCAGGAATTTTTATCTGTTTTTTTTTCCAGCAAATTTAAAAACAAATTAAAATTGAGAAGAAAAAAAAAACATATTCAATAAAAAGAGTATTCAAATTTTTTCATATTTTTTTTATTTGCCATTTAATTTTTCATTTTTTCCAAAATTTAATATTTATTTTCCATTTATTTATTTAATTTTAATGTTTATTCTTTATTTTTTTTTTCTTTCCATTTTTTCAAGAAACAAAAAAGCAAATGAAAAATTATTTGTAATAAATTTAAAAATTGATTTTCCTCCTTTATTACAAAAGATTTGAAGAAAAATGAGAGGAAAAAGCACTTAGCACATTTAAAAAGAGTACGTACCGAAATTCCCAAATGAATTTGAAAAATATAATTGAAACGATGAAAATTTGTCTACTACCATAATCCTCTGCTGAAATGACAAATTAAGTAGAACGAAAAATGTTTTCAATAAAGAAATTGATAAATATGAAGCGGAAAAAGAATGGCGGAAAATGAAAGAGAAGAAATGAATAACAAAGTGTTTGTTTGCATGTTAAAAGAGAAATTGAATGAATTTTATTCTGATGAAAGGAAAAATTGATTTATGATTTTAATTTTTTGCATAATAATTTTTTCTTTTTTCCATTCCTTTTTCTTTCATTCTTCTTCCCGCATATTCTTTTTTAACTTTGATCTTCTAATTAAATTATTTGAAATGGAATATTTGATATATATATTATTCCTTTTTTTTTTTCAAATTATTTAAAGTTTTATTCTTTCTATTTTTGTTTTTAAAGAAAAACAAACAAAATGTTTAATAATATTATTTATTTTATATGACAATGAACATTTATACTATAAAAAAAATAAGAGTAAATGGTTAAAAGTTTTTAGCAATAATTTCCCTATGGAAAGAATATATTTTTTATAATTTTAACTGATAAACATTTTAACTGTCTATCAATTTTCAAATGTATATTTAAAACAAAGTTAGCAGAATTGAATATTATTGTGGATTATTTTATAAACAGTAGAAAGGAGAAAAAAGAAGGAAAGAAAAAATTTTTTCTAAAAATATATCAAGATGAAATGACAAAAGAGAGAGAGAGAGAGAGAGGGAAAGGGAAAGAAAGATAGGAGGAAGAAAAAAGAAAACAAAAGAAGCTAAGGAGAAGATAAGAAATTCCCGATGGATTTGTTTGCTTTTTTTTTTTGTCAGTTTTAAATTTCTTTAAAAAATTAAAATAATTGAATTATGAAAAGCAAACCACACCCAATCAGTTAGTTTTAGTATTGATGAATAATATTTTGGAAGAAGTTGAAAAAAAAAAAAAAGAGATAAGTAAAATAAAGGAGGATAAGGATGAGAAAGAATAGTAATAATGAAAGATGAGGATAAGAAAAAGTGAAATAAAACAAATGATTTGAAAAAAAAAAAAAAAAAAAAAGAAAATGGAAAAATGGAAGAGACAATTTTGGATTCATTTTTTTTCTAAGTTTCAATCATAACTGCGCCTGTGTTTCTCTCTTTCTTGCCTTTTTGTTCTCTCATAAACTTACTTTAAAATGTTCACCTCAATTGATGCTTTATTACAACATGATAATAATTATAATCATAATCATATCAGTAATACTGCGAACAATAATAACAATAATCATAATAATGATAATAATAGCAGTAATGCTAATCATGATCATGACAATAATAGTAATAATATTAGTATTAGTCATCAAAATATGGTCACTTCATCAAATTATCAAAAATTAAATGGAAAAATAATTCATATTCTATCTAATAATACTTCTTCATCTCCATATCCTATTAATTCTTTATCATTATTTCCTGAAAATCATCATTCTTCTAAAAATCAACCTGATATGAAAGCATTCTGTGGAATGAAAAATATAAGTTATATGTCATCATTAATGTCAACCGCATCATCAACAATAACTGTTACCGCACCAATTATGCTATCATCACAATCATCATTATCATCATCATCATCATTATCGCAATCATCATCATCATTACCATCATATATGTTATCAACAACAATAGCAACATCGACAATAACACCTACAACAGCAACTACAACAACAGTATCAGCAACAACAACAACGACAACAAATGTGACAACAAGGACAGAGGCAGCAGCACCAATTCTAATTGAACAACTACCGTATCCATCCATGTTTCATACCACTAACATTCCATTACTCTACGATCATATTGCTCTAACAAGTTAGCTTACTTACACTATAATTCATATAAAATCATTTAATCGATAGAATGAATTTATGAGAATTGAATTTGTAATTAAAAATAAATACGTAATTTGAGAGAGAGAGAAATGAAATAAAATGGAAAGGATGAAATTAAATAGTCAAAGTTTTTTTTTTTTCTTTTCTTTTTCCTCGTCTTTCTTTTATTAAATTTTTTTTAACTTAAAATTTTATAGTGAAATTATTTTAGAGTGATTTCTTTTCAAAACACAAGATGCAATTATTTTAAGGATTTCAATTTTTGAAATTAAATTTTTAGCTATTAGCTAAATTTTTAGCTTTTTAGCTGGTTAATAAATGATATGAAGTTTATTATAGGATTAGATAAAAACGAGAATAAAAGCATAATAATTTAAAAAGAAAGCTAAAAGCATAATAGCATAATAATTTAAAAAGAAAGCTAAAATTTTTTTCTTTTTAAATTATGTAACTTATAAATTGATTGTATTTATATGCAAATTTGATTTTTAAAATTCATTTAATTTTAGCATTAAATGAGAATAATTTTTTCTAATCGTTTTTTAATATAATCAATAATTAATGATTAGTTATTTATTTATTTACTGACAGTTATTTAAGGTTGAATTTTAATTGATCACAAATTTCAGTTTCACACTGTTACGATTAGTTTTTAAATTTTTAACTTATCGTAATTAATTAATTTTTAAATTTTCAAATTAACACTGTTAATTACAGTAAATGCATGGCAAACATTGGGAAAAATACGACGTCCAAGGACAGCATTTACCACTGAGCAACTCATTGAACTTGAACGAAATTTCGCTCAAACTCGTTATTTATCACGGCCTAGAAGGTACCGTATACTCTTTGAAATGAAATAATAATGCGAAATTGTCTTGGCCAAGTCATTTGCTTTCATTGTCTTGGCCAAGTTATTTGCCTTCATTGTCTTGGCCAAATTATTTGCTCACATTGTCTTGGCCAAATTATTTGCTTACATGTTGATTGGCTAAAATATCAGTGCATTAGCTTGCATAAAAAAATAGCCAATGATTATTACTGTTAGTTTATGTTATTAAAATTACACAAATATAGTTGTAAAAAATTTGAAATAAATTTATTCCAATTATTTATTAGAATTTAAATATGCATATAACATTAATTTACTTATTAATTAATTCTTAATTTATCAAAAAGTATAAATAAAAAATGGGAAATGATGAAAAATTTTAAATTTAGTCCATTAATTTGAAAGGATAAAGAAGGAAATTGAATTCCAAAGTGTTAAATATTTTATTTGATTTAACATTCATTTTACATTACTTGCTTTTTTCCTTCATATTCACTTATACTTTATCATTTTTTGGGTTAAATTAAAAAAAAAAAAAAATTTGCTTAACATTTAATATCTTTAGAATTGATAAAATGTTTAATCGCAATTTTGTTTATCATATTTCATTATCTTCAATTATCATATTTATTACATTCAAAATTATATGACTTGTAAGATTATAATTATTGATAGTAATCATGGCAGTTGTATTGTTCCACTATTTGATAATTATTAAATATATTTATCATAATTATCAGAGTTATAGCATGATCAGATGTAATTCCAATAAAGATAGCATGAAAAGCAAATCTGAGATATATTTCCAGGAGAAAATTATGATGTAATTAGTCAATAAAACTTATTTATTAGCTAGGATGCATATTACTGAGCAAACTTTTATCACTTAATTAATTTTTGATAACTAATTTCTTTCTTTTTAATCCATTCATTAGTCCTTCATTTAGTTCCTTTGTATCATTAAAAAAAAAAAAAAAATCATAAATGAAATTAAATATATCATTTGTTTTAGATATCAATTAGCTCAAAAATTGCATTTATCAGAAACACAAATCAAAATTTGGTTCCAGAATCGACGTATGAAGAATAAACGTTCCGGTCCTGTTATTTTAAGTTCAGATAAAGTCTAAATTTATTTATCAATAATAATAATATATTTTATTGATAATAGTATATTCTGTTGATATTATTACATGTTTCCTTTTTTTTTTTTCTTTTTTTTTTTTTTTTTTTTTTTTTTTCTTCATTTATGTTTCTTATAAGTTAGAGTAATAAATTGAAATTTAATAGACTTCAGTGAATTGGTAAATAATGTAGGAATTACCTGCAGTATTAATGAAATATAAAATTTTCATTAAAATACATTATCATGTAAAATTTATACAAATAATAATTGCAATATTAATAGCAAACATTTTTGCTTAGCATAAAACTTTTACATTTTGTATAATTCCATTTGTGGATTTATTTATGATTGATAGGTTTTTTCCGCTTTTTTTTTTTTGCTACCAAATTTTATCACTTTGTTAAAAAAAAATTGCATGTCACTAACAAAATTTAGACTTAAAATTTTTTTGACATCTGAACCCATTTGTCTTACTGTGTTGATTTGCTAAAATTTTCAATTATTTCTTTTTTGAAAGAGAACAGAAAAATCTATCATAAAAACGATTGTGTTAGTGATCTTTTATTTGATCTATTATTTCTGCTAATTGAATTGTCCAATTTTTCCTTTTTTTTTTGTCCATTTGATTTGGTAATTAATAAATAATTCAATTAAAGTCACTGAATTAATTAATGCTATGCGATTTTATGATAAGAATGGAGGAAAGTGATAATGATGACGAATAATGAGTAACAATGAGGAAAATAAATAGTAAATGATCACAATATTGGAATAATAAATTGCTATGATCGAATAATCAATAATAATAATAATAATAGTAATAATATCAATAATAGTAGTAATAATAACAATTTAAATAAAATTAAAAGAAAGGCAATTAGCGTTTGTTTTCAATCACTGAAAAAAAAAAGAGAGAAAAAGAGAATTAAAGAAAAAAAAAAGAGAATTTGAAAGGATTTGAATTAAATAGCAATTTTTAACTGTTTCAGAGAATATTTTAGAAAAGATGGAAAGCGATCAAATTTCTGACCTATACCTTGCATACTTTACGGGGTTAACCTCAAAGTTAAAGTTAAATTTCGAAGTAAGAAGGAAATCAAAACCTTCCTTATGTTTACTTTCATTTCTTTTCTTAACCCAAAACAAAAAAAAAAAACTCAAATTTCAAATTTACAAAAAAAGGAAATACCTTCTGAAAGATTTAGGATAATAGTTTTGTGAATATATATACAGCTAAGTATTACCTAAATACCCTAACTAACTTTTGGTATTGTAATTACTGTTTATTTCTGTTCATTGAGCTCATCAATCCTCTAAAAAAACCATTTAGAAGACAAGAAAAAAAGAATTTTCAGGAAGTGTAAATGGATAAATTAAATGAATTAATTATTTTGATGTAACTTTTATAGACATCAAATTTCATCCTAAGATATAATCAAAAATCCATAATTTTCAATCATAATTTTCCAGATGAATGCAAAATACTTTTGTAATTTAGAGGAAATTCTTTAATTTATGTGATAACATTTAAAATTTTGAAACTTTTAATTTCATCAGTTTAACAACAATTGAATAGAAATTTATGATTGTTTTTACACATTCTGTGTATCTGTATGTTTGTCTGTCTATATCTATATGTATGTGTGTATGTGTGTGTATGTGTATGTATGTGTGTAATATATACATATATTGTATGTTGTGTGAGTTGTGGGCTCACTGTTGTAATACCGCAGCAGACGTGCGTGTGTAGGTGACGTAACCACACCAATGGCTAAACAACTGACACTATTTCCTCGAGCACTTCAATAAGCCACACCAATCATCTAAATGTTTTCCGGAAGCAAATAACATTTATCCATCATGATCATGTTATATGAAGCGATAACAACTGGATGTAAATCATTCCGATTTCATCGATGTATTCCGGTTTCATCGATGCATTCCGGTTTTATCGATGTTTAATATCGAATATGAACGGTACTTTTGATATTAACTGATAATGCTACATTTAATGTTTTTTCATCTTATATAATAGTATTTTATATTTTGATTAAAATAAGATAGTGTAATAATGTGCAATTGTATGTATGTATGGTATTACTAATAAATAATTCATTATCATAATTTATCACTAATTCAATCATTATAACACTGTTGTTATCATTAATAGTTACTATCATTATTCATTATCATTACTGTAAACAATGAAATTTTGAAAAAAAACCAAATCAATGAATCGCGAAAAAAAAAAAAAAAAAAAGGAGAAATTTTTTTTTTTTTAAATTTCTAAAAATCCTTCGTTTAATCATTTTTCTTTCACACAATTCTTTTATATCATTTTTTATCAATTGCATGCTTATTGCTTAATATGGACGAGAAAAAGAATATGAAAAGAATGAGTAAATGAAATTAAATCAAAATTCAGTGAAATTATCGAAATGACAAAGTTATATATTATCAGATTAGATAAAACAAAAGAGAAAAAAAAAAAAGTCATGCAATAAATATCAAATATGTCAAACTTATAACTATTCTTATCTAATCTAATCTGATTTAATCTGGCTTGTTCCGATTCTAATCTGATAAGACTTCTCTTAGTTAACTATCAAGATAATAAGTATTAATTTGATTTATAAAGATGATTGCTGTCTATGTCTATTAGCAAGCTAATCAAATTTAATTCAATATGCATTATCAAATCTGTTTTTTATACCACTCATAATTTAAAAATTTTTAAAACAACAGAAAGTATCGTAAATATTCGATAGTTAACAAAGCTTAACCTCAAAAATCTTTGTGTAAATTTCCTTTTCATCTTCAAAATCTCATCAATCCCATATGTATTCTTCGCTTTTCAACATTACGTCCTTCAGATATGGAACACAAAGAATCATTATTCATTATTTATCAATATAATCATTATATCATCATCATCATCATCAACAGCAGTAGCAGCATTATTATCGTTATCACTATCATCGTTATCATTGTCATTATCAGATATCATCAACAGCAGCAGTAGCAGTGATGATATCTGAACTGAATTAGAATGATGGCAATGTGGTAACATCCAACATTGTTCTATGGCTTATTTGATGATTATTCTATGTGGCTTTTGCTTATGTAAGCACACAAACAGAAAAGCACGCAAGCAAGTAAACAAGCAAACAAAGAATTGCAGTATATTCTACAGCAAGCAAACCATCCACAAATACCCACCGACCGATCTGATCTCAACCATTACTACCCACCATCACCAGATGTGGCTTTTATCTCCTCTAATGTCATTCATTTCACGCCATCCTTCCACTTCACTCTAATACTTTTCATTTCATTCCGATATATCTCATTGCTTTCTTTCCATTCTATTTTTTTTATTCTATTCCAATATTTCTTTTATTCTATTCAATTCTATTCCAATATATTCCACCCATTCTATACCTCTAATTCAGTCTTATTCTATTCCAATTCTATTCTGTTTTAATAATTCTATTCCTGCTATATTTTTCCTGATGTATACCTTTACTCTTTCATTTCATTCTAATATGCTGTACCATCCATTAGCCATCATTTTACATCAAGATATTCCGTTTATTCTTTCTATTCCATTCTATTCCAATATATATCCCAGCCATTCCATTTTGATATATTCAATTCCAATATATTCCAATACATTCCATTCTATTATATTGCAATATATTTCATCTATTATTGAAGAAATTCGTGCTTCACCTACATAGACACTTTTCATTTTTTAAGTTATATTTATTAAAATCATTATTAAGTGTGAAAAAGTAGTGTAACATTATGAGAGAGAGAGAGAGAGGGAAAGAGAAGTGGTGGAAGAGAGAGGGAGAGAGAGAGAGGGAGGGAGAGATTTGAGCGCGAAAGTTTTGCTGATATCAAATAGCTTATTATGAAAAAGTTTGAAAGCTTAAAGGATAACATTTGTTTCAAATGAATTAATCCTAACAAGTGAATAAACCTTTTCGTATTTATTACTGAATAATAGAAAGGGGAAGAGAAAATGACAGAGAGAGGAAGGAAGAATAGAGAGGATAAAAGAATGAGAAATAATAAAATTTGATAAATTTTTGTTAAATTTGATTCATTTGAATACAGCGAAATTTAATTTGTGAAAAAAAATTCTTTTGCATTTATACATTTATTTATTTATTTTAAAACTTCAATTACTTTTTTTTTTTTTTTTTTGTTAATTTTTTATGAATAAAATTTTTTGTTACCAAACAAACAAACAAACACACACACACATGTGGCAATGCAAAATGACAATAAATCATAATCTCGGCTATATTTGAAATTTTAAAATTTCTTTTGCCACTGAGGATTTAGAGGGATGTTTGAAATTACTTTGATTAAAGTTGAATAATAGCGAAGGCGGCTAATTAGCTATCAATCATTAAAAGATTCGCGATGTGTTATCTTATCTTAACTCTCTCCCTTGAAAAGTCCCTCAAATCCATTTTCGCATCACAAATCATTCAATTTCTCATTTCATTTAATTCAAATATATTTATGTTTTACTCGAAAAACTCGAAAAATGTTTCTTCTTTCATTCCATCTCTTTTTCTATTATTTTTCTATTCCTCACTTATCGTTGATATTTCAAATATCTTCATCATCTCTTTTTTTTTTTTTCTCCATTTTACAATATTTTATTTCATATAAATTTTAAAATGAATGAGAGAAAATATATAAAAAACCGAATAATTTATTTTGGAAAAAAAAAAACAAATAAATTTAGGAATATTAAATTAAAAATTTCATCGAACAAATTTAGCATAATGAAACGAACGAATAGATTTTAACATAATAAATCATATCCAATACTTTTATATATTTTTTCTGACAATAATTTAATATAGTTTAGTTTTTTGTTTTTTTTTTCTTTCATTAATTTGTGTTACTTTTATTTTTTATAAATTGGAGAACATTGGGTAAATGAAAGATAATAAAAAAGAAATTCAATTTTTCAATAATTTATGTTTATCATATTGTAAATCTTTTGCTTGCAAAGAAGAAAAATTGACAATTTGTTGACAATTTTTTGTATCTTTCAAATGTTGTTGTTGTTGTTGCTTTTTTCATTAATGTAAAATAATGAAAATTTAAAAATTTAATTTTAAAAAGTTAAAATTCCTTTTTTATCTTCCAAAATGAAATTTTAAAATTCTTTCAATCAGAAAGAATTTTAAGGTTGAATGTTTCTTGCTTTTTTGATTGTATCACTTTAAATGTGCATTTTTTTTTTTTTTTTTGTTTTTTTCATATTGTTTTATGAGTGTCAAAATGCTCAAAAGTATTTGTCAAAGAAAAGAAAAAAATTAATTTAACAATAAATAAATCAATTGAAAGTTTTTTAATTTTGGGTTGAACGAAAACAAAATTTTAATAAATTTAGTAAAAAAAAAAGAATGAATTTTTAAATATCATTGCTAATTCTTTGAAAAATATATAAATACATTTGATTTTTTTATCATTTTTTCATGATCAAATTTTTTGAATTTCTTTTTCTTTGTAAAATTTAATTCTGAAAAACAAATACAAATACAAATTTTTTGAATTTCTTTTTCTTTGTAAAATTTAATTCTCAAAAAAAAAAAAATAAATAAAAATAAAAATACAAATTTTATGAATTCTTAAAAAACACAAAAACATATGTTTATCATGAAATGTTAACAATGACCAGTGATTAGATAAATGTGTCCTTCTTCTTCAATCTCTTAACTGATATCAAAGATAAAGGTGAAACAAACGGATGACAGAAGAAGAAGAAGAAGGAAGAGATTGACAAAGGTGGGAGGTGGAAAGGTAAAATGAAAAATGATGAAGAGGAGGAGGAGGAGGAGAAGGAGAAGGAGGAGTTAAACGAGGTATTAATAAATGTTAGAATATGCGACAGTGCTTGTCATCAGGATTAGCAATGGTTAATAATGTTTGTTGTTAGGGAAATTTTAAATTTAAATTAAAATTTAGTTTAAATTTTAATTTTTTTAAAGTTTAACTTTTTTTTTAAATGAATAACATTGTTATTTATTGTTGAAGACAAGAACAATAATAGTGATAATGATAATTAGTAATAATACTATGATCTAGTAATGGTAATAATTAGTAATATTATTATAATGAATTTTGATTGTTGATAATTTTGATAAAAGGAATCAAAAAAAAAAAAAAAATTTTTTTTTTTTTTTTTTTTAAAGGAGAAAAAAGTGATTATTTGAAAAAGTTAAAAATGAACGAAGAAAAAATTTAGATATCAATTGAAGCAATAATATTGTAATATTAATATCATCGATATTTTAAGAGTAATACATTTGTTCCTCTTTTCTCCCTTTTTTTTTCTTTTTTTTTTTTGCTTGTTTTTAACTATCAATCTCATTTTTTTTATTATATTTAATTCTCATCGTTTGATAAGCCACAACCAAAACCTTATCAATGTTATCAGTTGAAGAAGCATTCGGTTTTTTTTTTTTTTTTTTTCAAAAAAAAGATTATAGTGGATGGAATATATTTTTCTAAAAAAAAAAAAAAAAAAAAACATTAAATAGCTCATTGTTTTTTAGTTTTTTGATATATTTTTTATTGAGGAATTTTTTTTTTCTTTTTGCGGTTATAATCGTATTAAATTGAAATATATAATTGATATATTTTTGTACATTAATGCATGTAGCATAAGAATGCATAATGCTTGCAATATGCATGATAATGCATGCACTGATTAAAATATGCTACTAAAATTAAACGTACAATAGCTAATTTTTGATAGGTAGCAAATTTAATTTTTTTTTTTCGTTTTAATTAACATTTTGTATGAACATACATGTTGCATAAATTGCACATATGTTTGCAAAATGCAGAATAGCAAATTTATACTGCTATTTTTTTTTTTTTTGCAGAATGCATGCATAACATGCTATTTGCACTATGCAAATTATATTTTGTGAAGATATAATTATTTATTGTTAAATTGTTAATTTAATCTATTATAAATGTATTTAATAAATAAATAAATAAATAAATCTGTCTAATAATTTCATCTATTTTAATTAAATAAAATAAAAACAATTTCTTTTAGATGGCAAATTTAATCATTTTCATTTTAATTAGCATCAACACCTTTATAAACCTCAAACAGCTGTGGTTGTTTTTCAACCTTTTCCCGACGTCCTTTCAATTCATTTTCAACTCTCTCTCTTAATGTCATGCTTGCTTCTTGAAATGTTCACCTATCTTTTGATGTCATCTGAATCAGTTGTTCAATGCTTCTCAATCATTCAACAAATTCAACCCATTCAAATACCATCCAACCATCCATCTAATTTATCTCTTTTGAGTAGAGCTATTGCCGAATAAACCTTAACCACTCAAGTTTCACTCAATTTTATCCTTTTCTCTCTTCATTTTGCAACATCTTTTTCTCCTCATCTCTCTCCTTCTCTTTCTTCTTTTTATTTTATTAAATTAAAATTTAAATTAATAATTTTATTTATTTAATATATACTCCCTCATCTATGAAAATTTTATACAAGTTTTTTTTCTTTTTTTTTTTCAAATGTTTGAATGTAAATTTTTTATTGCTGTGAAATTGTCGATTTTAATATTTTGCATTTTGTTGATTAAAAGTGTTTTGGTTGTTTTCCAATAATTTAAATTAAATTTTCGATTTCAATCAGTGAATTTTATCGTTTTATATCCGTCTTCTTTTCTAGACTTAATTTTTTTGTTTTCTTTTTTATAAAAGTAATTTTATTCACTCAATTTATTGGGAAATTTTATTTCATTAATTTTCTATTAATTTTATAATATTTGAAAATTTTTTTTTTTTTTTTTTTGAAAATTTTTAATGCATACTTTACAATTGTTAATAAGTTATTATAATTAACAGCAATAAAATTAAATCATCTAATAATTAAAAGAAATTTCATTTATTATTTGACTATTACATTTCGTATAGCATACAGTGATAACATGAATTATCATCAAAATTATCAGCTGATAAAGAAATGAACGGCAAATCTTGACTGATAATTTCAACAAAATCATTTTATCACTCATCGTATTTGTTTTGATTTGATTCGATGATTTCCTTTTTTTTTAAAAAAAAAAAAAAAAGTTTATAAAATTTAGATTTAATAATGGATACAAATGATTATGAGAAGACGTTAATTGCGCTTGAAGAAGCGCTAGCAGCAATAACAACGACAACAAAATTATTACCAACCGGATGTCCTAATGTAATTTGCACTGCATTACCTAATCATTGGCGTAGTAATAAATCATTACCATTACCGTTTACCGTATTTGCATTAGGACCGGTTCCGGATGGAACACTTGTTACGGTTGCAGCCGGAAATGAAGAAAATTGCTGCGCTGATTTGAGAAATAATCGTACTCATATGAATGGACAGATTGCTCGTTTCAATGATTTACGATTTGTTGGTAAAAGTGGGCGAGGTAAAAATTTTTTAATTTAATTTTTTTTTTTTTTAGAATTTTTTAAAAAATAAATTTAAGAAAGAATAGCTGAAAAACTATTCTAAGATATAATGTAATGAATATTTAAAAAAAAAATTACATTCAAAAGTTGTTATTGAAAAAGAAATTTTAAAAAAATAAACAAATAAAAATTAAAATTTTATAATTCTTATTAGCTTTTGACTTGCTAACGTTTCTTCCACTTTTATCCCAAAAAAAAAGAATAAATGAAATTAATATCAAAAAAGAAAAATGGAAGTTGTTTTGATTAATATCAAAATTTGTCGTTAATAAAATAAATAAAAATTGTGAAATAACTTTTTTTTTTTCTTTTCGAACATATTATGAATAATTTTAATGAAATAGTAATTTATTTCAAAAAAAAATCGAAACTTATAAAATAAACAGTAATTGATTAAAAATAAAAGTTCACTATTAATTTTGAAGTTAAATTTTAGTTAATTAAAGTTAGCAAAGAGAATTTGAAGTTTACATAGTTAAAAATAAAATCAAAATATTTATATTCTTTCTCTCTCTCTCTCTCTCTCTTTATCTTCAATTTTTTACATCAAATTTAAAATGATCTATAAATTTTGAATTAAATTCAAGTTAGCTCCAAAGAAGTAATGGTCTCTTTTTCAATACATGCTAAGCAATACAGTTTCAATTTTCAATATGTATTTCCTGATAATTAAAGCATCCGTAATTTAAATCCTTGATAAAACTTGATGCGGTTTAATTTTTTTGTCCGTTCCGGAAATTTGACAAGTAACCGTATTCACCAGCCATCATATTATCATGCTTATCCTTTGGAAGGTATATGCTCATTTTACCCATTCTTTTCTGCCAATTTCATCTCTTCCCTCTCTCTCTCTCTCCATCTTTATTCCTTTCTCTCTGTTTTGACAAAACAATTTTTTTTTTTATTTCATTAATTAATTCAAATTTTTTTTTTGAACCAAATTGAAACACATTAATTAATTAATTAAAAATTTTTTTTATTGCAATAAAATTTCAATCATTTTTTTTTTCAAATTTTTCAAATATAATTTTTTATGTGGAAAGAATTTGAAATTTGCAAAGGGAAAAAGGAAAAAGTTTCAGGAAAAAATTTTCATTTAACGATAACAATCGATACAAAACCGGCACAGATAGCAATCATTGGTAAAGCAATCAAGGTGACAGTTGATGGTCCCCGTGATTCTCGAACAAATAAGCGTACGGGTGAAATTCCATTCTTTTCATTTCTTATCATATTCCTCTTTCTTCTCTTTTTTGTCCTTTTTTTTTTTTTTTTTCGTCAAATTTAGAAATTTATTTAAATTTTACAAAAACATAATCATTGTTTTTTTTTTTTTTTTCACCGTTTTTGTTGAAATTTTACAGAAAATAAAACTGTTTCAATAAAATTTGAATAATAAATTATAAGAATTCAATTAAAATTATCAAATATCACTCTTTTTATCACATGCATTATTATTATTATTATTAATTACTATTATTATTATTATTACTAATTATTATTAATAATTATTATGTTACAATTAATTTGATGAGAAAATAAAATTGCAAAAAAAGAAGTAAAAAAAAAAAAAAAAGAAGAAAAAAATTATAGCATTAACTCGTCGTACCAGTGCATCAATTTCATCGGATGATTGTCCGGTTACCAGTAAAATTCGTCGCCGGATTTCCACCGGAGCTATTCCAAGACCAATTCCAACACTAATGCCATCCGTTCCTGTTTTTCCCTCTCTCTTCAATCCATTTCCATTTATTCCAAATCCTCCGTTACCGGCACCGGTAGCATTGAATTTCCCTCATTCTCCACTGCTAAATCCTAATACTACTGGAATTATTCGACAACCTATTCCATCTTTTGTTACACCTTTACCGGCTGTTTTAACTCAACGAATTCGACAATTACCTCAATCTCAGGAACAACAATCGATTGCAACCAGAACCAGACGAAAAGTAACAAAAATTTGGAAACCTTATGATATTAAATCATAAAATCAAAAATTAAACTATGAAATTTTAACATTTTCAATTTCAATTCAATTCAGTGATTGTATATATATACTAATTGTGATTTTCTGATAAATATGCATAATTATTCATTTAATTAACTTCTCACAATTTTCAAACATAAATATTTGAGAGAATATTTTACCTTTTTAAAATGTTTATTGATTTATTCATTATAAAACAAAAATTTCTACAATCAAATTTTATGAAAGAAAAAAGCAAAAAGTATTTTTAATTGTTATTTTAAGCAAATCTTTTGTAATTAGTCAAATATTTAAATCTAATGGAAAAACATTAATTATGACAAATAAATAATTTGTAAGCATAAAACTTTTGAAATAATCAGAAGCGTAAAATCGTTTAATAAAAAAAAAAAAAAAAAGAAAGAAAAAAACGTGAAATTATAATCGATTAATTAGGTTAGTTATTAATTATTCAGTGAAAAAATGTTAAAATAAATTTTTTTTATCTTCACAAGTAACTTCAATTAGCTTTTTTCTAAATGACAATATTAGACGGAAAGATGAAAGAAAAACAAACAAACAACAAAGGAATAATTAATTTTTGAAATTATATAATTAACATATGCATATTTATTAACAGTTTATTGCATTAAATTTCTTTTTTTACATACAAAAAACAAAAAACAGAAATAATTTATTGATCTCATTGATTTTATTATTGTTAATTGTTATTGTGGTAATAATTATTATTGTTTTGTTTATTTGTTTGTTTATGAATTTTCTTGCGGGTAATAAAAAAAAAAATTTATAAGTGCCTTCCTAAATTATCCCTTCTCTTCTTCTTTTTTCATCCTCCCTCTCCCTCGCTCTCCCTCCCTCTTTCCCTCTTTCTTTCATTTAATTGTTATACAATAATTTATGAATAAAAATTACAAACGCTATTGTACTGATTAAATACATACATTTTAATATATTTTGTCATTAAATACTTTTTTTTTTTTTTAACAGAAAATTTTTATTTGATAATTTTGTTAAAAAAAAAAAAAAAAATGATAAGGCAAAAGCTATCAGTGATGAATGATACTTGAAATAGATTTGATTTCATTTATTAATTTAATTTAATCACTAATTTGAATCAATTTTAAAAATATTAATTCTTTATTTATCATTTATAATTGATTTCAAATTAAAATATTAATTCTTTATTTATCATTTATGATTGATTTCAAATTAAATTATTAATTCTTTATTTATCATTTATAATTGATTTCAAATTAAAATATTAATTCTTTATTTATCATTTATGATTGATTTCAAATTAAAATATTAATTCTTTATTTATCACTTATAATTGATTTCAAATTAAAATATTAATTCTTTATTTATCATTTATAATTGATTTCAAATTAAAATATTAATTCTTTATTTATCATTTATGATTGATTTCAAATTAAATTATTAATTCTTTATTTATCATTTATAATTGATTTAACAATTAAATTTTCACTATTTATTTACTCATTTTTTTCTCCTTCCTTCGGACATTTCTAAATTATTTATTTCGATAAATTGAATTAGTTAACTGTTCTAACTTTATCTGTATAATTTGTTTAAAATTGTTAATTAATTATTAAATATTATTCATTTCATTTCTTCTTATTCATCCAATACATTCATATATAATTTATGCATGTATATAGTTAAGTTAATTATTCATACCTTCATTTTTTTCCCCATGTTTTTAATTTTATTTAAATCAAATTATAATTCAGAGAAGTGAACGAAGAAGAGAAAAGAAGAGAGGGAGAGAGAGAGGGAGAGAGCGAGAGATAAATTTAAGGATAAATGTAATTTCAAAGGTTATGCGCATCTATGCATAAATATCGGGATGAAATCACAATCAGTAAATGTATTTTTGTTTCTAACGAAATGTATGACATATTGGTATGCACTGATAACAATCTCCGTTATTTGTTCAGTAGATTGTTAATGACTGATAAAAACTAGTTGAATCTATTCATCATCATCATCATCATCATCATTATCATTATCATTATCATTATTATCATCATCATCTAAAACATGTACGGTTATCGTGTTATATTACACCAAGTAATTCTTCTTCTCCTTTGTCTTTGAATGAATAAAACTTATCATTTTCACAAATCTGTGTTTCGATGAAAAATAATTACAAGGATCGTTAAATTAAAAAAAAGATGAAAGATATCAACCGTATAAATAACATTAACAATTTTCTTTCTTCTTTTTTTAGACTCAACCACTCATAAAAATAGATTTAATCTAATTAGTAAAGGTAAAAAATTTGAAACAATTTTTTTTTTCTTTTGCGTTTAGAATTTTTCTTAAATTTTCCTTCAAATATTAAACAAATTAATTGTAAATTAACTAACTAATCAAAATTTAATATATTTCATTAGTTTTTATATAATTTTAAAAGTCTAAATGAAGACACTAGGTAAATGTGATTAATTAAGAAATTACAAATATTATTATTAATTAAGGAATAGTTATAATCCAATAAGAATATAATTTAATCATTGGATTAATTAGCGATGAAATATATAAGCAAATGAATATTCAAAAATAATAAATGCTTAAGAGAAAATTAAATATTAATATTAAATATTTTCGGGCATTTCGGGCACAATATTAAATATTGTTTTCATTTAAATATTGTTTATATTTAATATTGTGCCCGAAATTATATCAAATTACTATCGAGCATCATTCATTGTTTACTTTTATTATTAAATTTTATCACATGAAATAGTTTTATCATTTATCATTAACTGATCGAACAATCGAAACTATTCATATCTTGTTTTTTCTTTTGAAAAAATAATGAAAGAAATTAAATTAAATTCAATTAAAATTAAGTGAATAATGATGGAACATGGATCATTTCTTAAGAATATTACATTTTAACTCTAAAAAACTCCGTAATATTGTTATAATCACTTATTATATACATTGCAATTATATATTAAAAAAATTTAATTTTTTTTTTACATATAAATTTTTTTGTAAGTAAACAATGAAATAGCTAGAATTATTGTAATAATTAAAAAGAAATATTGTTGAAATAATTGATTGAATATTTTTATAAATATAAAAAAAAATATGTTATTATTGCAAAAATGTTTGAAATCAATTTATATCGTAAAAATATTCCATTCTAATAATCAAACTTAATTATCACCATATTTAGTATATTTTATCATATCACTATTTCTAATTTGATTTCGCGATGGAATATTGTTGTGTGATTATTAATTAAAATTGTTAGGAATCTATGGTTTAATTCTTTTTTCTTATTTTTTTTTTTTGGCACATTTGAAATTATTGAAAATAAAATTTCCATTTTATAAACAATTCGAAAACAGTAGATGGAAACATTTACTCATTCATTCAAATGAATTTCATTTGTATCAATTTAACAATTTTAAATTAATTCTTTATTTAATAAATAATCGCTGACAAATTATCAATAATCAGAATATTAATTTAATATTTGTGATATGACTTTGTTGTTGTTGTTGTTGACCTTAATTTCTATCACTATCTTATTTGTATATGATAGCATGATCAATATTAAATGCAATTAACTTTATGGATGGATGTGTTCACATTTTTTTTTTTTAAACTTAAAAAGAAATTTCAAAAAATTATATTTTTGTGACATATATGTTTAGGAATAATTAATTACTCCAAAAGGATCTAAAAATTAGTTTGAAATAAAATATATTCTTTTAATAAGATTGACATTTACAAAAATACATTTTGATATATTTTTTTTTAAGTTCATTAAATTTGTCATTTTTCTTGTGCAACAAATTCTGCTTCTGTCTTTCCTCATGCATCCATGAAATGAATTTTGTCTCCAACTTTAATCTAAATTACTTTTCCTTCAATTCAAAAACTAAAAACTTAACTACAAACACTCCGGAAGTTCGTTGTTTTTTCTTTTTTTGATAAAGTAATTTTTTTCAGAGCTCCTTTCTCGACATTTTTTCTTTTTTCAATTCCATGGCTATTTACATTTTTTTGTTGACCATGTTGAATTTTAAATGATAGTCTATCCATTTAGCAAAATGGAAAGATCTATTGAGTAAATTAAAAGCTATCATGAATAATGCAAGAGGAAGAATGAATGAAACAAATACAGGCGAAGCAAAGGGATTAAAATAAAAACATTCTGGAAAACATACTTAGTCATTTTCTTTTTTTTTTTCTTTATTTGACATATATCATAATCTTAGTATTTAATGTCTTCTGGTCTATGAAAGAAAAACTGATAACAAAGCAAGAAACACCATCATTATCATCAACGAATTTTATGCAGAAACTTCCAAAATCAGAACAAATAATTGTATTTACTGCTTCCAGTAGTAATAACATGGATGCAGTGTTATGGGTGACAACAAGTTCACAATTTTGTATAACAGAAAAATATAACGACAGTTAAATAAACGATTAAAATAACAAACCAAAATAAACGATGTTTGTTAGAAAGTAGATAACTTATGACACAATATCATCAATTGGGCATGGATGCTATCTCTCAACGAATAAATAAGGCTACTCACAATTTTGATCAAATAAGATATGTATTGACAATAAATATAACAAATAATCATAACATTAATAAAAGAGTGAAGTCAGAATTTGATTACTGTGTTGTCCAATTAGTCGAAAAACACCAATTACGCAACTTCAGTTTAAATGTCTCTAACCTATGGATGTGATAAAATTCCAAATAGCAATGCAATGATTACACATTATTACTAATTATACCATTAACACACCTATGGTATTTTCATATTATACTCAAGCTTTGCAATGAATCTGGAAATAATAGCCAAAACTAGTTATCCAGCCCGATATGAATTTGAGGACTGAAGAAACACCTTTCGTAAATCTTGAATATACCTATGGACGTCTCAAAAGATGACTCAGAAAAAAAAAGTCATTTTAGAACAGTCTTGAAAAGAATTTCTGAACTATTCCAAGACACATTAGCAGACAGTCAACAATCAAATTCACACTGCAACTGAAGAAAACCCAACGAGCTTGACGATAAGAAAGGCAGATGAAAACTCAGACAGTTACTTGTAAAGAACTCAGAACTATTTAGTTAAAATCAAAAATATTTTTAAAAGATTTGTAATAAAAACAAGTCGTTTGGCTTTCAACATAACAATATTATGTCAAAATTCTATATCACTGTGCGTGTAAAACTGATAGCTCTATACAATACATACTCTATTATTCTTTCAGCCGAGATGTACTCAAACTGTGTTACATTCCTTTGAAATCTGCTATGACATCTTCAGCATATGATATGTATATACGAACAAAGATGAGAACTCAAGTATCAAACTAGCTCAGAAGCTTGAAATTTTGTCAGAACGAGGTAGAAATATCTATCTCTTCCGCAGGGTTAGTTAAAATTATTTGCATTTTGAAGATATTACCATACCAGATGTTCCCAAATTCAAAATTTTCTGAATTAAACCAATAAAACGACTGTCTTCTCTGAAAGTATCAAAAAGCAGAGAGAAGGAGGAGAAAATACGGAAATGAAATTGGGATAGAAAAAAGGAAGAAAAAATCTAGATTTCAATATGATCAGAAATTCTTCACAAAAAGAACTTTTGAAGTTGTTAGGACTACAATTTCAACGCATAAGTTCAAAAAATGGTAAATACTGGCATATTTTGCACAATTACGGATAACAAGTACACAATTTAAACAATTTAAACATCTTAAACAAAAATTTAAACAAATGGCATCAAATTTTAAATTAATTGTGACAAAGATGCTTTTGTTGACATGGATATAAATTTTTAACTCAACATTGCATATGAGTGTTTTTATGGAGCACTAGTTGAAACAGTTTCAATGTTCGGGGAGCTCGATGACATCGGCGCAGCATGCAATGTGTCGTCAGCAATATTTTCCATACGAAGAGATGAATCACTTGAAAAATAAAAAAAGATATTTAGCAACTTTTTCAAGCAAAATGAATCATTTACCATGAAAAGAACCCAAGTTGGCGACGATCTAAACAAATTTGCTTTGATCCTTTTTAAAAGAAATCAAAAAAGACAGAAAGAAATTAATGGATATTCACTGACACCGATGCAAATTTAAAACTATTTAGGACAACTTCTGGATTCCTTATAATCCTTACCTGTGATTGTGTCCACTGACACTTTCAGAGAAGTTTGAACCAATGCATGGAGTGAGTCGGGATAGAGTTCGTGCTTTCAGATTACTTTCTTGCGGAAAGATGTGAGGTTGACTCACAGGAGGCACCCAAACCTAAAATGGAAATGCATTATCGAGAGAAAGATGTTCAGTGTAAACTGAAATCACCAGTAGTCGGTAATGCAGATTATATGATGTAGAACATGTACAACTGGAACTAGATAGATTATTACGTACAACTGACAAAGTAGTTTGCAAGATTGCTTTTTGCTATCTCAATCGAATCTTATTTACAGCAGTAGCAAAAGACTAAGCTTACCTGCACTTGCTTGAGAGAATGGTTGGAATAAGTAGGCAATAGATATGTCGGCTGTCTAAACGCCAGCTTCATACTTGTAGGTTGAGCAACTTCTGCAATATGATCGGGAATCGGAGGTCGAATGTTCATCTGAATCCTGAAGTAGATATATTCCTCCTGTTAAAATTAAAGTGATTTAAACTAAGGATTTCAATCCGTTGAATCTATGTTTCTGTCTGAAATTAGCTAATCTTCGCTGCGACTCCAATCCATCCCAGTTTATTGCGTATATTCTTCTTTTTAAATTTAATCAGTGTTAAGAACAACAAAAAGTTCAGTAGCATACCCAATCTCAGATGTAAAAGTTCCAAAATATTGTTGCGATAGAACAGTGTGAGGGTCATATGAAACAGCACAGTTAGCAGCACTGTAAGCAAAGTAAGTTTCTGATTGCACCGGTCGACGATGTGTGCGAATCATAGGTTTGTGGCTGCCATATGGACCAGTCAGTGCATGACGAACCTATAGTGAAATTAGTGAATTCAAATCGAAACATGAATTTGAATGAACTAATATTTTAGTAATATAGTTTCCTAACAGCAAAGAATTGACAAAAACAAAGAAAGTCGGAAATTTTTTAATTTTCTTACCTCCCAGCATTGCAGACAAAAATATTTAAAACAGCTCTTTTCGCGACAGAAATATGGTCCCTGAACACATTCACATTGTGAACATTTAGCATCCTCCAAAAATGGATCAATCTGTACTTTTTTCGTAAATTTCGAAGTGTGAATTTCAAGATAACCGGATTCAATCGCGCGGAAGTAAGCTGACTGAGTTGAAAACGTGACTCGCGCACTGCCTAGACATGAATAAGAATAAACACACTAGTAATCATAAGCAACATAATAAGATTCATATTTCCTTCTTCAGTATTTACATCTACAACACTTACATGTACAAACCTCAAAGTTATCGATATGATTAACATCTTCATCTTCACTTTCCCACATAGACCAATTCATTTCTTTAAGATAAGTTTGTGAAAATATATATGGTTTTAAAATGATTCCAAAGCACAACACATAATGCTTTAGAATCACTTTGTTTTAAAAAGAATTTTAGAATTACACGTGATTCTAAAATGAATAACTTACCTATAGGATACTTTTGACGATCTGTATCGATTCCAACATAAAGTACATCACCGTAAACATCTCTCATAATGGAGAACAAAACCTTAACAGAAATTAATTAAACAGACCCCTCTCAACAACAGTTAAACGTGACCTGATTTTGTTAAAGAGCTCACCTGGGCCGTAATCATGCCATGCAAAGCCCCAACAAATACTGTTTTTTTAAGGTCCAGAGAAACATTCGGACTGATAATATACGAGGCATCTGTTATCACCCATGGAATAACTTGCACCTGGTATAAATATCATACAGTGTTTTGAAAGTTAGGAATAATAGGAATAACTGGAAAAAGTAGTCGAGATGATTTTTCGCTTGAACACTTAAAAATACCTGTCTGATTTCCAATCCATTGGCTCGTCGTGCTGTCAATTTGAAATACCATTCACCAGCTGTTCCAAACTCCTGAGAGCAATCTTGCAGCAAGTTTTTCACCGCCCCATCATTTTCGAAAACCATATACACATAACCAGTAATTTTGGCTCGTCGTGGGTTTATGCGTGTATGACGCAATTCTTTGCTAGGCCATTCCACTCGGCAGGGTCCATATTTCGAAAATGACTGAATTTTTGCAAAAATTAGAAAAATTCAGTAAACTTGTTAAGAAAGCATGTGTATGGCTTTTATCTAGAATTCCTTTCGACAATGGCATCCGTTAAGCTTTTAATCACTTTTATTAAACCACCATGTGACAGTGTTTCCTGTTTCACTTTTAAGAACAGCATTTGAAGTTTTGTTGAAATGAAAATGATAGCCTATATATACAACTGAAAATAAAAGTTTATTGGTAGAAACTAAGAATACTTACGTCAAGAAGTGCGGTTTCTGTAATATCCCATGGAACACCACCAATAAAAACTTTACTAGAAAACACTGGATTACAGTAATTACGAGGTGGTAATTCACCCTTCCAGCAGCATGGTTTTTCACGTCGCATTTCGAAGTCAACACTTGCTTCAGTTACCTGTGACCGTACCACGGATGCTGTCATCATCTTAAAATGCAATGACATGTCATTATAGATTCATCCTAACTGTTCTATCAAGTGCAAGTGATCCGCCATAAAAATCCCAACAATAAACTTCCAATGCTTTATAGTATCCTCATTTTATTCTATCTTCAAGAACTCAAACAAAATTTTCTCATATCCATGATGGTACATTTATTACTTTCACCTACAACGAATAGATTTGAATACATTGTATGCAATCTTAGTATTTACACTGTTCCTTTATAAATAAATTTCCTTCGATCATATTTGGAACGCAATAGGTTATATATCACTACCGTAAACTGTAAAATATTACTTTATGGATTAAATCATAAATTGGTTAGTATTTGTTAGCAGTGATAGTAAAGAATTTTAAACCTGCACATAAGTTGGCGAATATCCATTCTGCACCATGTGTGTCACAATTTGATGATGATATTGCTGATTGGGTCCAGTCATTACTGTTTGCCACGATTTCTGTATCGGCTGAGTATCGATAATCATCAAATCCAATGGCTATAAAATGAGTAATCTTAAATATAATTCTCCTCTTCTCTCAAAAAAATTAATCATTCCATTTTGACACTAGTAAAAAATAAAAATTTAAAAATACAATGCCATGTCCAGGAGTTCATAAGAATGACCAAGGTAATGCTTTTTTTTTTTTTTTTTTTAAAAAAAAGAGGCAAAATCATTAAATAATAAGATTTACACTAACTGTAAAAGATTAAGTCGTTTTAAAAAAGATAAGTGATTCTCATATAGCAAAGACTAACCTTTGTTGATCTGATTTCTCTATCGCTGTTCGCCTGATAATTTCCTGAATTCCCAATGTTTCTTGTAGCTTCATTACTAACTTTTGTAATGGTGTCAGTAACAACAGCACCGGCATCTGTCTTGCGGATATTTGCAATATTTGATTTGCCGTTAGCATGACAGTTATTATGATTTTGGTCGATGAGATTGAGAGAATTCATTTCAGATTCAACTTCAATGAAAACACACATTAGCTTTTACAACAAAATTCTCATATAATTTTTGTGGATACATTATCATATTCCTTAAGTAAAACAAAACCGAACAATCGAGAAAGATATGATTGAGATCTTGCAAAAAACGTTATTTGCCGAGAAAACATTTCAGTTAACTTTTATCACATAAAATTCATATCTCAACTATCATTAATCTATCTAAACTCTATGAAATTATATTCTGAGAAAACATTAGAAAATGAATAAGAACTTCCAAAGTAGGCTTTTAGCTTTTGAAAAATCTCTCCCTACCTTTCTTAGATGTAAGAATCTTCGCAGCAACAGCAACAGGTATTTTGCTTGTCATCGTTTTCTCTTCCAGAACCTTTATTTTGTTCTCATCTTTTACTTGTAATTTGTCCATTTATCCAGAAAGAATATAATAAAATTATTTCTTTTGCGCATGAATAACAAGTAAAAAAAAAAAAAAAAAGTAAAAAAAAAAAAAATATTCAGGAGTTAAATGAAAATTTAAATACTTAATTCAAAATATCCTGTGTAAGATTTCAAGCTTTTAAATTAATACTATCTTTAAAATTTTCACGCATGTAGTTTTAAATACTATTTTTTTACTGAAATAGCATCCCGAACTTATGAAATACAAACTTCGAAATGTTTCATATATTTGGAAAGATCACCTTCTTCTTGTCATCATGTACACTAACATAAATTTTTTTTAATAAAAAAAGTGGCACATCTACTGCTAACTAACCAATATGAACGAAGCCAACTGTTAGATCATTTTATTTTAATACGGATCGATGAGAAAAACAAGTCATCTTTTCTTTGATATTAGCTGGATGAGATATTTGGGCTATCGTAATAGTAATGAACTTTGATGAAATAATTAAAGCAACAATTAGAAGTAGTTTAACAGTGTGCTACCAATATTTTTCTGTACTACTTCTATATAAGTTAAAATGAAGCACACGAAAGGATTATTAGGATTTTTGTGAAATTTCAACGAAATCATAATTTACGCAGCAGGCGAATACTATGTAAGTACTACAGTACCTTATATTTAAATAGAGTTTGGTGAGAATACCTTGAAATTGCTGGAAAATTAAAATGATTGGGAACCTTTGATTGAGACTGAAATTGGTCCTTTTTCTACTGGTGTAAAATGCTGAGATATGCTTTGTCCAACCAATAATTTCTCAGGATTTTAAAATATTTCCAGAAAAAAGAATGATTTTAAAGTGATTCAAAAAAGTCTTATAACTTTTGAATTATTTTTATCAAAGCGAAATGATTGTTAGCTAAATGAAACAAGGACTTTTTCAATTTAAAATTCCATTTGAAGCTCTAAAAAAAAAAAAAAAAAAAAAACGAAGCATTTCTTCATAAATCAATTAATCAGTTACTTTTAGATTATTAGAAATTATCTGGCATATTATTAATTTTCCTAATCCAATTTTTATTGCTTTACTTCTCACTTTTTTCACTTCATCCTTTAAACTAATTATGACTAATTCAAAATTGAAATTGAAATTAAAAAAAAAAAGCTTGGTTAACAATCAAAAATTCCCCAACAATTCAACAAAAGTGATCAACCAACCAACCAATCAATCAATCAACCAACCAATCAATCAATCAATCAACCAACCAACCAACCAACCAATCAACCAACCAACCAACCAACCATACCATACCAGCCGACTAACAGACTAATCACCAATCAACCGATAGCCACTATTCTCACTTGAAATTATTGTTAATAGTCACGTACTCAAGTCCATTCCATCCTACATTCTTATCCAAAAAATGATAATTGTCACGTAGCCTGATCCATTCCAAAAATTGCTATGCGTTTGCTCTCATCGACTATGCACTAACTTGTAAACGTTTTGATCTTTCACTTGAATTTAAATCATATTTCTTTCTTTTAAGATTTGTTATTTAAAATTTTGAAGTGAATTAAATCGTTTAATTAGAATTGAAATGTGTCTCATATGGAAATTGCAAAATACTTCAGAATTTATTCCACATAAGTAGAAAAATTGTAATTAAAATCAAATGAAAGTTACTTCATCACACAAACATACAAATACATACATATATATCAAAAATTAAATAATACGTAAAACAAAGCAGACTTAAAAAAGGTTCGAAAATTGGGAAATGAAAACATAGAAAGGTCCAAAAACTAGAAATGTGTACACTGGAAATAAAGTAATAAAACTTGCAAACCTAAAGTTGGAGTAAAACACATCACAGAAAATTTAAGTTAATCCATTTTTGAGATCCACAACCCTTTCGCTTCAAAGACAAAATAACTAAACAACACATGAAAATTTCTGGAAAATATTCTAAAACCAAAATCTTGAGATTACATTCTTTCTTTACGAACTCAAAATGTTTCTTTGGATATTCCAAGAAACTAGTGAAATAAATAACAAGCAATCCTCTCTTTTTTTTCTTTTTCTTTTTTAATCCAGAATATCATTATAAGTATTAAGACATCGTACGGGCGACCAAATTGCGATATGAGCCTTGCTGAAAACCACCAGAAGACAACTGAGGGATTGTTCGACCAGCGTTATGCATTATCAGATTAATTGAATTTAGTTCCTAAACAGAAAGTGTATTTCCAATTTGAAAATACTAAAAACCATTTTTTAGTCCGATTTTTCCTTTTACCTAAGAAGAAGCAATAACTTATTACTACCCTCAATCAAATTATTAATAATCGGGATGTACCTACTTATCAACTTGGTTCAGAAGATATAAAGAAATGAACCTACTTACTACGCAAGTAAACAAATAAATAAGTATTTAATTTTTCATAAATTATGTATTTAATTTTAAATCGTCAGGATCATTCGGCCTAGTTTCCAAAATAACTACTGCTGGACGCAATTCCTCTCCGTTTTCTTGTCTTTGCATTGTTTCATTTAGCTATGAGTATCTAACAACATATGCTTAATAGATTTAATATAAATTTATAAACATTGTGATTTTTGCTTATAAACCCTTTTTTATTACATTCATCACTTTGCATGTTGAATTGTTGTCAGTTATTGAAATCTTGTAACAGACAATATTTTGAAACTCAAAAAATTCTCGAACCTACTTTGACTGGTGTCTTATCAAAGATATATCTGTATGGTCGTGATGGTGACGATGGCAATGAAGTAGGCATTGGTGTAACGGTAATACGATCAGATACGCTCCTCTGAGGAGACAAGCGATTACAATGCACCACTGGAATTGATAACAGAGAAACACCACTCTATAAAACAAATATTCCGATATATGCACTGAATTTCTTCGATTGCACTTCTTTTACCAAACAACGCTAAAGTTTTCAGTAACGACAGCATATGAAAAAATTCCTTCTTAAAAGTACTGAATATTTTACGTCGTAGAAAATAACGAGAAAATAAAAAGAAGCAGGTATGCTCCTAAGAAATAAAGAAGTTTACCAGCGATTTCAACATCCTATTAAAAGATGGCATATGTATACATATATGTTGCTTAAAAAAAACAGATCAATATTAGTTAATGATTAAATAACCTCTGCAATCCCCGGCTGCAATTTTTGCACAAAAGATTTCACATGAGCAATGAAAATGTGATTGTAGTATTTGATGAGATCAATATATTCCACGTTCTGATGTTCTGGTGTCGCTGTACCACTGCCAGTAACTGCTCCCGATACTGACGATTCAGAACGGAATTTGTCTCCTGATGCAGAACCAACAGAATCATGAGAAGCACCATCATCCAAAATGATCGGAGGTGAACTGAATTTTTCCCCGTTCAAATAATTAAATTTAATAAAGCGAAATTAAAAAAGTGAATTTCTCTCAAAATTTTTATTTTCTTTCTTATTTCACTGAAGAGGTAGAAAATTTGGAAGAAAGAAAAGAAACTTCCTTATCTTATTAAAAAATAATAACTGAAATACTTCATAAAAACTAAAATTTAGCAAACCAAATATGACTACTATCTAGAAACTAACGAAGTGTTCTCCACCAGAACTCGCCGGTATACACGTGAAGTAGCTTGAGGTTGATGACGGTAATGGTACATAATGTCGTGGAAAGAAATATTTTGCTGGCCAATTTTTGCTACCACATATAAACAGCACATCAAGTTTTGATCCAAATGCCTTCCAGCCATAAGGGATGTTTCCGTTCTCAAAACATGTTCAAACAAAGTCCAAGCTCGCTGACGACCTTTTTCATCAAGACGTACTCGTTCGCAGAGATCACGCAAGCGAACTGCTGCCAAATAATATACCTGAACATGATTGTGCTATAAAGAACAAAGTCAAAAAAAAAAAAAAAAAAATGCAAATTTAATCAACAACTACTATTACTTACTGAATGATATAATAAATTTTTTCGCTTTTCAGTAATATTTTATGTTCACGCGTTGAAACTTCGTCAAACAATAATTACTAAAAATAAACAAACGCGCCTTGCGGAAAAATAATAGTGTTGCAGATGTTGGTGTTGAATTTTCAGCATCTGGAACTCGCCGTTTTGCAGCAATGCATGATGAGTCATCGTCATCAAACTCGAGCCGACGTTTTGCTGTTTAGAAAACAAAATTACTTTATTGGATAAAATCGAAATCAAAAAAAAAAAAAAGGAAACCCTACAAAATCTACCGAGTGGTTTGACGGGTGACAAGGTATAACGTTGTGAAAGAGATGGCTGCCTCACAGAGTAACCCTCTAAGGTTTCCAACGACACCGCTTGACTTGATGGTACACCATCGGTTCGCCGATGTAAGCTAGGCCATAATGGTGAATCTAAACTCCACGCAAACTCTTCCAGCACACGTTCTTCAACCTGTAAACACAGAATTAAAACGACGATACAAAACAATTTGTATTATTTTTCATAAAATACATCTGACTGCTAAAGAAACAAAACTGAAAGTTAGTCGTCTATAAATCCAGTGAAGTACTTCACAGGATACCTGAACTACAATACCGAATATTGAGAGAAACTTCAAACTGCATGAAAAGATCTTTAACAGAAAAATTCTGCCTTTTTAATAAATGACAAATATGGCAAAACGTATACCTTATTGAGATGCTTAACCATTTCACGCGATAAAGAAGAATCGGCTCGTATAATTAGTTCAATAACTTTGTAAAAATGTATAGCAGGCAGTCGCATAATTTCCAGGCTCCACGGGAATTCCCGCACACTTTCATATGTAAAAAGGACCAGTTGCAAAGCACAGACGTACAAAGCTTTCAAGAAATCTTCTCTCAGCAATACAGCCTATAATAGGATACTGTCTGATCAACTTAAAATCTGGAAAACCAATCAATCTCATTAAAATTTGAATTTATATTAGTTACATTTAAAACTACAATTTAAATACGGCAAATACAAACACTTATTTAAATATGAGATAAAAAAGCGACAAAATAAAAACTTCACTGTAGCCAAAATCTGTTTAGCGCTAAATTCAAACTAAAAAGGTTATTACAAAATAAGGTTACCTTAAGCAATTAGAACTGAGTATCAAATTTATAATTTCCACCAAATTTATTTATATCAAGATAAAAGACCCACACTTAGCTTAACGATACTTCCACTTCCCAAACGATCTCTTTCCGAAAAAGCTATTTTATGCAAGAAACGAAAGAATAAAGATTCTGTATTGTTCTTTCGAACTGCAAACATTTGACGAAATGAAGCATCATAGCCAGCTCCATCTAACCGTCCTTCATTTTCTATTACTTCTTCCAGACGTTCACTTAACTGAGATACTGAAATGTTTAAATTTCTTTCGTATGAGATTTGTATATTTAAAGTAATTCCTAAGCCTTACTTATTTAAACCAATCCAAATATTTCACAGTAATTTTCTCCTCATGATTTCAGTTTACTTCAAAACTTAAGGAATTATAATACATTTACCAATATTCATAATTTTCTCAAATGGATCTTGGCAGCTGTGACATAAAATGCTCTCTACTTCAGCATCCAATCTCCTCCAATTATCTTGAAGTAACGCTTCTAGTTTCGAAGCATTATAAAGTGAAGCGGAAACTGGTGTAGCAGGACAATACTGAAAAAAAGTAATTTCAATACAATTCATTAAAATGATCATCAATAAAACGAACAATACAAGTGAAATGAAGAAGAAATTGTAAAAATGTGAAAAAAAGAAATTATGTGAAAATGCAATAATATTTAAAACGTGTTTCAGTTCCGTTCTTACTCAACTTTATCCTAAATAATCACTGACTGTATTTTCCTACCCCTTAATACAAACATTAAAGCATAAACTTCTTCTGTACAGTACAGATCCTGTCACACTGAAGTAGTATCACAATGAAAGCACAAGCAAAGCTTATGATTCCGTCCTCATCTAACTTAACCCTAAATAATCTCTGAATAAAAATGGAAGAAAACTAAGCACCTGCTCTGCGGATATGACATATCCTCGGCCACTCAATGGAGTCCTTTGTTGCCTCTGATCTTGAAGTCGCTCCAAACAACTTTGGGTACTTATACGCAGCAACATATCTGCATCAACAAGATTATCACCATCTTCTGAACGCCGAAGACGCTGCACTGCACATTCTGAAATAGTGAATCAATTCAAAACAGAAAGATTTGAATTACATTAAACAAATAAAGATTACAAAAAGAAAAAAACTCACTTGTTCAATGTTCACTGCAATCCTAGGTTACTCAGTTAATACTTTTTATATTGATATGCTGCCGCCTTCAAGTAACCGAAGTACTGATTTGACATAAACTTATTAAGCAACCGAGATAGCTTCCAGAACAAAAATCTTCTTTCAGTCATAAAACAGGGCCTTAATCTCAATATTTTCATTTTTTAATATGATCGTAAACATTAGAGAGCAATGGATCGTTTTAGTCATAAAGAATCACTACATAAAATCATGAATATTAGGGGTTTCCTTTTCGCATTTAAAATTTCCCTTTTTCTTAGACAGAAAAAAGAAACGCAATCCTTCCTCTACTTCTTCACTTCAATTTTGATGTAAAAGTAGCGTTTTAAACTAATTTTCAATCTTTTTAACTGTGTATACCATCATAGGCTTCATCGAACACGATAGAAATATCCGCCGGCAGAAACATCCTTTCATCCATTTCACCTCGTTTCACAATCAGTTCCTCATATATACTATCCAACTTTTTCCTGCAGAAAGAATATAGGTATGAGAAAAAACTGAAAAGGTAAATACAAACTTTATCAATTAAAAAATCATGTCGTGAACGCTGGCTTGTTTACTAAATGCTTATGAAGAAAACAAGACTTGCAAGCCTTCAAATATTTTGGGAAATATTTCATGAAATTTGGAACGGATCACCCATCTCAAACTATATTTGATTTGGTTCATAGAATCCAAATCAAGTGGTATAATTAAAATATATACTTGTTGATAAATTCATTAGCAGCAAAATTGGTCAGATCTTCGCCTGTTTCTATTGTTTTCTCTTCCGACATTCTGCGCATTTTGGGAAGCCAACAGTGGGTTCGAAAGTGTTTTGCATCCAAGACAACACCTTCAAAAATCTGGCATAATGTTTCCAGTATAGAATCTTCTTCGTGTTGTATATCAACAGCATTTACTGAAAAAAAAAAAAAAAGAAAAAAACAGTTGACAATATAATAACGATAATTATTTACATTTGATAACTGTTCTTGATGCAGTCAAAACATATACTAAGCATGAGCCGCATTTATGTAAAGAACAATTACATATCTTAATAAGCGTAATGCATAACCAATAATTATGACCGAGATCAAAACTTATTTACCAAGACAAATAAAACCATCAAAACTCAAGAAAAAAGAGCTCACTGAAATCGCCATCCAATAAGCAAGTCATTTCGGAGCGTCGAAGATCTTGAAAGATGAAGTCAACTGTACAAAGCAAAAGATGAAAACTGTTCATCAAGTCATCGCTGTTGAATTGCTCTATAAACATTATTTTCTTTGCAAATATCGAGAAGTAAATTCAAGCCTTGCTCATTCATTGCCTAGGATTATTTCTGCGATGATATGTCTAGGTATTCAGTAATCGGATGTTTTGTACAGATGATCCAGACTATCATTTTATCCACTTAATGATCAACTTGTTCAAAAACTAAGATTGGTTATTTAACTTCTACTATTAACTTTTCGAACATCTATTGTTATCCATTGTCATCAAAGTTAAATTGAAATCTATGGATAACCACCATCTCCAGCATTTCTATTCATAGAAAAAAATTATCAAAAAATCCCATCATGTTTTCAACTTCTCAACCAAATCATGCTCTCTACTTAACATAAATCAAAACAAAACCGAATTAAACGACCGGAAATCAAGAACTAACTTCGCATTACGATAAATAATGTCCACAGCAAAGAAAACAGTTTTTTGCAATTGAGACCTTTCACATCATCTTCATCATCATTACTATACGGTGGTGCAAATATCTTCCGGAAGATCGGTAATAATTTTTTAAAAACAACCGCTGAAACTGCAAGGGACGACTGCACTCGACTGATATGATCCTTTAAGCGCCGCGGCCCATTAATCATTTCCACCCATTTAGTTCCTTTGTCGAAGAATTCAAGCACACTACATTTAATGAAACATTAAAGAATTTAATCCAGTCTAAGTATCTTAGTCGTAACTACCAAACCTCAAAAAACATTTCACCATGGGACATATACATCACTAATAGTAAGACCCACCAATTTACATATCCTTAGGTTAGCAAAATGTATTCACCATCATGTGTTTGATAACAAGACGTAATGAATTATGAATACCGTCAATGATAATATATAAAATAAGAATACCTGAGTTTACAAATTTTGAGAAGTTTAGCCAACGAATATTTCTTCGGTACGGCATTCTCAAGTAAGCTCCCTTGCCACATCGAAAGATAAACAGCACAAGCATACCAGGTTAATTGTTTCCCCTGCAAGAAAAATGTTCTTTTCAGATATTTAGGAAAAAAAAGATATTCCGATATCTCTAATGATTATTTAATAAATCTAATGCAGCTAATTAAATTCAAAATAAGAACCAAGAATTAAGACCATATATTTTCGTTATTGTGAAATTCAAATACGCAATACATATGTTTATTGGCAAAATTCATCCATACAAACCTCTAACACATATTGCTTTCCGACAGTATCGTACTGTTTCCAAGCCTTTTCAATGAAATCTTCATCTATTTTAGGATCTAACTGTTTGCAGATATATAAGAATGTTGTTGATGGCTCGACTTGTAGGTTGTCCACCGTTTCGCTTTGTCCCGTCGGTGATTTACTAGACGTTTCACTTTTCATATCAATATCTTCGGCCATATAAAAAACGTTGCAATTTTTACAAGATCCAAAAATTTATTTTTATGACAAGTTTGCACTTCAACATCAAATAAAGATTATAAAAATTTTCATCAAAATTTATCAAATATTTACATAACAACGTATGATTTTGAATTCATTAAATTAATATATGCATGCTACCAATACAAAATAAACTTGTATATAGCTATTCTTGACATTAAGAAAAGTTCCAACTAAATTTCAATATTTAAATAATAAGGTGTTATTCTGAGTTCTTATTGTGAAATTAAAATTTCACGAGCATCTACAACTGTTAGTTTAAGGAAAATGACACTAAAGTAGTAATGGAAAACGGAAAGTTCGCTAACAGTGACCCAGACCCTAACACATCAGCCGTATCAGGTACACCCGGAAATCAAATTCCATAATCGACATAACATTCCCGGCGTCCGGGTTCGGGTGCGCAATGTCACAAATTTATGTCACTTTGCGATTGGATGCAATGTCATAACGAAATAGTGCATTTTCGGTGGATAAATCAAGACTTTAGAGAAGCTTAATAGACTGATATTTGGGAGATAAAGAGATTGCTAGGATTTGTAAAAGTAGAATGAAATAAGATGAGCAAAGGATGACGCTTGATAATTAGAGAGAATGCAAGTAGAAGAGAGGAGGAGAGAAAGAGGAGTTTTTTAATAAAATGCAAGGTGAGAGAATGATGAAATTGATTATATAATACATGTTTTGCATTGTAGCAGAGATAGAGTGTGTTTTTGATAGAGTAGTCAGCGAGATTTCGTGCAGTAGTAAAGCAATGACGTGGAAACGGACGTGTGACTTGTAGATTTTTGGTGTTTGAAAATTGTAGAATTTCAAAAAGTGAGAAAATATTAATTAAAAATGTGATAGCGTGATAGAAGAAAGTATTTTAAGTGAAATTTCCGCTTATTTGCTACGTGCGAGTAGTTGACGTAATGTTACGTAGATAGTATTTAATATTTTTTCTTTCTTTTTGATCCGTCTTTTTCTTTGCTTTTTTCTATTGAAATCTTTGAATGTTACATGTAAAAAGAAGAAAGAAATAAACAGATTGCATTCAAATGTTCTCAAATATATTTAATGTGTGTGATGTCTTTGTGCAGTGTCATTTATATAACTCTGTTTATTGAAAAAAAAAATCTTTTTATTGTGAAAATTGAGAGTAATTTTCAATTCTAACTGTTATTTTTTCTTTTTTTTTTTTTTTTTTTTTACTGTAAATTATCAGTAAGAGTTGAACTGAGCTGAATTATGAATTATTTGATCGAGAATGAGCTATATGGTGTTGAATTAAATCGAATTGAAAATAACTGTGAAATGTTACGAAGTTAAATAAGATTTAATTTAATTGGATAAAATTTAGCTGGACCTATTTGATTATTTGATTGTAGTTCATTGAGTTATTTCAGCTGTGACCTATTTTCTTTCATTCTCAGGTGGATGAATAATGTTGATCAGTTCATCATAGATTCTACTGCCTTATCAGACAAATGTTTGTTGCAATAAAATTGAGGATATTCTGAATGAAAACTAGTATAACCGATCCTAGCCATGTTAGCTCAAGATTTCCTGAGGAAAGATGATCGTAGTTTTCTGCCGACTTCCTCCTCCAAGTAAGTTAATTCAATTTATGTTCTCGAGCAAGAAAGATGAGTTATCTTAGTGCATTTTTCATATTTCTTTTAATCCACCTTATTTTGATTCTTTCTTGTTTTTTTTTTTTGTTTGATTGTACTGTAGTTGATCGATTGTTTGTGATTGCTTTTCTTTTGAGCAATTTAATTGATAATTAGCTTTGTATTAGATATTGTTAATAGTAATTAGCAATAAATGATAAGCCAGCGTAGTAAGTGCTACGAAAAATATAGAAATTATGCGATAGAAATACCACATAGATTTAGAAGTAATAATTTGCTTACTAAGTTAATTTCTGTTGAAAGATTTTTTGATAGTAACTTGTCATATTAATTATTAAAAAAAAAAACATTTTTACCTGAGAACAGTGATTACAGTTTGATTTATTTGGTGTATTGTAGATCAGCATTTTATTTCGGTCTCTTAGTAATTGTCAAATTTCTTCGTTGCATTGGAATATTTATTATTGATATATTAGCTAAACAAGTTCATGTTGTTGGACTACTTTGGTTTTTCAAACTGGTGTAAGTTACTTTATTATGAAAAAGACTGACACTTTGTCCGACATATTACGAATTGATTTTCCCCAGAAAATTATCTCTTAAAATCATAATAATCGTAACAAAAAAATTAATAATTGTAGTGTTAAAATGTCACATTCAATGATTTTTGACTAAGTTATTTGGAATAGTGGACTGTATAAGATTTACAACTAAATTCTTTTTTTCCGGGGTAGTAATCCATGCCCATATTATTCCCATCTCGTGTAAAACATTGTTTTGATTATTTTGCTGAACATAATTTTAAAATTTCTTATTTATCAGCGTGCGAGCTGAAGCTGATGGTGAACAGAACGCAATTACATGTTGTTATTATGAGCAGTTTGCTTATTTGATTTATATTTACATCGAAATTATAAAATTATTTTAGTGCTTCGTGTATTCTTATACCGTTTCAAAAACCATTCAATCATGGAAAGTCACTCAAAAGGGTTTTGGTAAGTACTACTTTAAAACTTTGCATTCAGTACAAATTGTGATCAGTTATGTTGACTATTGTTTAGGGTGTTTGAAGATCCTAAAAACTTTTCTTTTTGTATTAGTCTAAGGCACTGTATATGAAGTTATGAAATTAATTTTCTTGTTACAGGGCATTAGGATAGTGCAGTTAGCGCTATGGAACTGCTTAATCGAAGTTATATGGTTCTATGGTATTACTTTTTGTGGACCTTTGAGGTAGAAGAGTTTTCTGTCAGAAATGTAATAGTATCTGCAAGAATACATACGTGGAAACGGAAATTACAGTATATGAGGCAATATGCTTAAGAAAGAGATCTTTTGCAGAATTCGAAATTTTTTGATCTTTTCAACCAAAATTGATGTATACCAGATTTTTGGTATTGGGCATGTGTGAATGTTTTAATTCAAATATGTATATTTTTCAAATTTTTCTGCATAAAATTTTGTATTTTTAGATCCATATTGGTGTTCGAACAAAGTCCATCGGTTATAATGGTCGCTTTGCTAACTTTATTGAAAGGAAGCAACTCCTCATCGAAAACCCGTGGAGTGATTGCGCTAATGTTAGGTTATCTGTCCTTAATTTTGATGGATAGCGATGCTACGGTCGAATCAAATCACAGTAAATTTTATTTCGCTGCAAAATCCATGGTTTTAATTTTGTGCTTAAATTGAACGATTTTTTTAATTAATGCGAGCTTACGAATTTACTTATATTTGTGATCTTTACGATAAATTACAATCGTTAGGAAAGGAATTTATAAATTGACTTGTTGTTTTGTTGAGGAACCATCAGCAATACTTATGATCACAACTTGATCGTATAGCAGACATATTAGCAAATAAATTTCATTTTGTATTGTTATGTTTAATGAGAATTATTATTTTAGAATCATCACACAGTCACCAGAGTGTTTTAAATCATTTATTCTACCATTTTATTCATAATTCAGGAGTTTCGGACCACAAGGTAAATTTTACAATTCACAGTGCAAAATTATATTTCACACTGATTATAAAAATCAGCAATACTTATGATCATAACTTCATCGTATATGCTAACACGCGACTGTTAGCATATAAACTTCTTACATTTCATTTTGTATTATTATGTTTAATGAGAAATTGGTGTTGATTAGTTCTTTAGCTTGCTTAAAATTTATGGATTCAGTTTTTCTAAGTATTTTTTAACGAAATTGTTAAGGGAGGTGTCATTTTGTTGATCTTTGCGGTTTTGATAAAAATGGCATACGACTCGTCATTCCGCCATCTGGCGGTTGAAATTGGTGGTCCAAAAAGGCTCTATTCGTTGGTGACACTTTTTTCTGCCATATTTTTAACACCAGTGGCAATTCTTGCTTTTGCTATGGGCGAAGTCAGTTTCTTTAATTAAGTCTGTTACATGTTTAAATTTACAATTTCGATATTTCAAGTTCTAACAAAAAATTCTTGATTTATTCTTTTTATATATCTTATCCTTCCTCGTAAATGATAATTCACATCTTTACATAGCCGAACCTACCAGTAATGATAAGCACAAGATGGAGTTGTAATCTTAAATAAATTGCAGGTATATATTACTTCTTTTATCGATTTTATTCTTCTGTTGTTTATGGGATCAATGTTTGTTATGGTTTTCGACTTCTACACCGAATCATTTTGTTTCCAGGTTTTTTAATCTTTAGTTTCAAAAGTTTCCCTTTTCAAAAATTTTGTTCTTAATTTTTCATTGGCACAGGTAATTTATTGCTGTATCTGCGTTGTCATATATTTCCTAATGAGTTGGCTGTTTGGAAAAGTTACTTCTATTTCCCTCAGAAAAAAACAGTGAATAATTAGTTGGATTTCTCAAAATCTACATTTTTGTTGTTTAAATAGTTTTGTTGTTAATTATTATTTTAGCATGTAGCTGATCCGGTCTTGTCGTCAGCACGATGGAGTCCGATGATAATGTTTGTTTGTGCCTTTATGTTCGCTTCAGCTTGGTATACGGGTGAAAGTCATCACGCATCTGACGCTCACGTTATTTCAGGCGGAGTATTGTTGACGCTGTTATGTTTCATTATCGGTATATTGTTTACCTATATGTGCTATTAGTATTTCGTATAATCTAATACAATTATCCTATCTTATTTTGGTAAAGAAGTGTTAAAGGTTAGGCTTGTTAAAACGCGATATATAAACTTTTAAAAGCTTACAAGCCACAACAGTGGTCGGTGGAAATTCTAAATTACCGAATTATCGATTGTACCCCTTCCTGGCTCATTTATAACTGCATATAGTTATGATCCTGCTGGTAGATACAGATACTGACTTAAATGATCTTATCACCTAAGTGATATTTTGCATTTCATTCTTTCTTTTTGAATTGTTAGCAAGTTTTTTTCAAAAAAAGATGCACAGTTTCATAGTAAATGTTTAGTCAAGAAAACTAATCAAATCATTTCAGCTTGTTTCTCCCTAACGTCCTCGACCAGTCCACGTTCCAGAGGTGGATATTATGTTGGCTTATCGGATAATGGAATGCCATTATATACTTATGGTGAAGCATTTTTGCAAAAAACTTCAAGGTTTGTGAAATGTTATTACTTCATCATTTGCCAAAAGTGTTATTTCAGTCGTTTACTTCAGACTATTATATTCCTAATTAGATGCTTTCTTTAACTGTATGTCTCTGATCTTCCATTCTATTCTACCATATTTCAAGACATATACGTTCCGATTCATGCATTGATTCACTGTGATATATCTTAACTAATTTTCTCAGAATAGCATGATATTTTTGTCATTTATATTGAATATCTTGTTATATTCCTATTATATTATGGCTTCAATAAACTTGTTTGAGTATGCTTTTGCTTACTATTAATCAATTGCTTTTTTCAGATCAATAATGCTGTTGATCAAAGAAACTTTAGCGGAAATACTGGCGAATACAGATTCTCGTAGAATATTTTGGTTCCTCTGTGCCAATTTGGTATTTTTCTATTACAGCTTTACTACTGTATTTCAGTCATTAGTGAATGTTGTGGTTTTTGACATTTTTTTTTTTTTGTATTGGATTTGAAATTTTTTATATAGAATTTTTGTAGTCATTTTGTGGAATTGAATTTTTGTATGGCTTCTGGACAAATAGCCTTGGATTGATATCCGATGGTTTCCATATGCTTTTCGATTGCTCTGCGCTTGTAAGCTTTTCGTTTTTCTATGTGCAGTTTTATTTCAAAATGAAAAACATTTTGTGTTCTATTATATGTGGTAATTCACATTCTCAATGTATATTTCAGGTAATGGGTCTTGTTGCTTCTGTAATGTCACGGTGGCCTTCTTCAAAATATTATTCTTATGGGTATGGGAGAGTGGAAGTACTCTCAGGTAACTGACTGTGTGATTATTTATTAGATATTGAGAATGAATTTTTGATTTTTGTTTATCGTACATATTGTACTTTTTTTAAGTTAATCTAGTACAGATACCACTTTGCAGTGAAAGTATTGCTTAAATTGTACTTAATGCATTCTTAATATTACTGTTTTCTAGGGTTTATAAACGCTTTGTTCCTTATTGTTATTGCGTTTTTTATATTTTTGGAAGCGTTAGAACGATTGTATGATCCACCAGATATCAGCACTGACAAACTAATGGTATAACACTAATTCTAGTTTTTATTATAAATTAGCGAGAAAAGAATTTTTGCTACTTTTGACTTGTCTGCTATAGTTTTCTCCATTTTTTCGACCAAAAACGAAAAAAAAAAAAAAAAATGGAACACTATGATTTTGCAGAGTTGACTGCAAATATTGGATAGTTTTTAAATGAACTTGTTAACCTAGATTACTAATCTTCTAGCTTTTTCATCATATAAAATTATGTTTTAAAAATAAGGATATGTCATGCTGATTGGAATAATCCTGTAGGTATCGATTCATTTTGTTGTTTATGCTATTAGAATAGGAAGGATACTTGATAAAGTTGGTAGTGTACTGCATTCTTCAGATGTTGAATTCTGCTTTTGATTGAATTAATAACAATAAGTAATAATTCAGTGTATTGCTCCAATATGTACTGATATGATTATTTGCTAGATATATCAGAAAGGGTAACATACTAATATTTGCTCATTTATTTACTTTAATCTATTCGTTGATTAAACCATTGTAATTCTAGCTTATATTTGATTTAGATAGTAGCAGTTGCTGGTCTAATAATAAATATATTTGGTATGTTTGCATTTCACGGTGCAACACATGCGCATTCTCATGGCGATGATGGCAGTCATTCGCATTCGCATTCGCATAACAACGCCTCGCATTCACATTCACATTCACATTCTCATTCTCATTCACATGGAGAAGCAAATGCTAATATGCAAGGTTTGCCTATTTTGGTATTTTAACATAAAAGAGTTCCAAAAATGGTAGGTAGACAAAACATTTATATAATTGAACTGGCTTTAAATGAAAATATCTTAGCAACTGATTGCAATATTTAACTTTGTAAAAGATTTACCAATACGTAGTTAGATAACGAGATTAGTAACGCGAGTACAGTGCATACTGCAGCAGGTTTATAGATGGTAATGCTTTATTATTATCTCATCTGTTTCAATGTACATAACATTAGCTGTTGCAAAATTCGTTAACTTGGCAATAATGCTAAAAGAAAGGATACAGCATAACTTAAGAAATACAATTTTTTCTTTTTTCTGGCTGATGAAAATGAAGCATTAAATGTTATCTTCTTCGTAGGTGTTTTTCTACATGTCCTTGCTGATACGCTTGGTTCCGTGTTTGTGATAATCAGTACCCTAATGATTCAGTATTTCGGTTGGAAATGGGTTGATCCATTATGTTCGTTAATTTTATCAATGCTTATTCTTGGTTCAGTAATACCATTATTGAAACAATCGATGGCTACATTAATGCAGAATATGCCGCCCAAAACAGAGGAAGAATTTGAACACATTCTGCATGAGGTTTTTATTCCCTTTTTCTTTCAGTTTTAAAAAAATTTTTAATTCCAAGTTTGATAAAAAAAAAAAATGATTTGATTATCGAAGGTGATCATTTTCAGCATAATTAGTTTTTTTGAAAATTTAATATTTCGTTACAGAGGTTGATAAATTTTTGGTAACCGTGCAGAGTTTAACACATCGTATATTTATAAATAACTGTGTTAATGAAATGTATACAGCAATAATTAGGAACAACTTATTGTTATTTTTTAATATATTTGCATGTTCACGGGAAATAATATTTGACATCTAAGTATTTTAGGGATAAATCAACTTATTATGAATATATTAAGTGTTTACATGCCCATTTTCTATTTTTTATTTCTAGATTCTAAACATGGAAGGTGTGATGTCCTATTCGAATGTTCATTTGTGGCAACTTAAATCTGTTTTTAATATCGTATCCTTGCATGTTCAAGTTAGTGATGATGCAAATGATCAAATCATACGACTAAAAATCTTAAAAATTTTAAAATCGATCAATATCACACAGGCATCAGTTCAGGTAAATAATTTTAACATTATCCTGTTATATTATTTTCATTCAGCCACAATTTTTAGACTTCATGGTATTTTGAAGTTATATTACAATTTTTTCTTCTTTTTTTTATCTAGCTAAAATTAGTCTATTTTTTTAAGAAATTTTATTATATCTAATTAAATGAAATGATTTCATTGTTGTATTCAAATTCATTTCTTATTTTCTAGTTTTCAAATTGTTAAATTTATTTTAGGTTGAAAAGGAAAATTTTTTCCACCGAATATCTGCTCTTTGTCCATCGTATAAAATTCCACAACGTATAACAAAAGGTGTTGCAATTGGTCACACTTCGGTTTCCGGTAATTTTTGTCATCATAATGAAGTATGTGATTGATTGCATAATGCAGCATAAGTGTGTTTATTTTAGAAAATTATTCTTAACAAAAATCTCTATTAAAAAATCATTTTGCATCATCGTACTGTGATTATCGTTTGTTTTTTCGTTTTTGTTTCAATCCCATCTATATATTTGTCTTAATTTGATCGAAAATTTGAAATAGGTTTAACTGACATTTTTGTGATAGTTATTTGAGGAATTTCTTATTGCATTTTTTTTTTTTTTTTATTTTCTGAAAAAAGAAAATTTTAAATGTATTTATGAAAATAGGAATAAGTGCAGGTGGTACCATTGCTATTGTGTCGGTTATCGTATTATGATAATGATAACAGTGGTCAATGGTATCATTAAAAGTACCATTTGTGTATTATTTTTTCTTTCTGTCAGTCTTCTGTCAGCTTTGCTAATTTTTATATATAACAACTACAGGTAGAGCGCACTGAAATTTATTTCAATGCTGGATCATAAATATACATTTTCTAAAATTTTATTTCTGTTGTTTTGAAAAATTTTATTTATTTTTCTGTTTTTTGTTGTTTGTTTTATTTTTATTTATTTATTTTTTTGAATACTATATGAAATTGTATGAAGAAGTTATATGCATATTATCTCGGTGAATGTATATCTTTCAACATATCTTTTTTTATTGAAATTTGTATTGCTGGAATTTCTTGAGTTTAGCTGATATGGAATAAATATCTCGAAACCAATCAAACTTCTGCATATGTTTATTCTTTTCTTGGGATTTTTTCCTTTTGATATTTTTTTTTTTTCGTGATAAGCTAAACTGATATTACATTAGTCATAGTAAACTTACATATAAAATATTCCATAAACGATTGAATCATAATTCAATGCTATTATTTGTAGTTAAATGAAAGTAATCAATAGGCATTTTAAAAATAATAATTCAGTAAGGAAAATAATCATTATAAATAATCAACAGATATTTTACTTAAATAAAATAAAATTTAAAACAAAAAGAAAAAAAAAAACAGGATGAACATTATTCTAGTTGCTTGAAAGATTTTTTAAAGGAATTCCATTTTTTTTTTTTAATGTGAGAAATTTCAACATTTTTCTCATGAAATGAGATCATTACAATAAAATTTGATAAATTATATCTTTTTAACTTTTATTGAGATAAGTATAATGAATAAAATAAACAGTGCAAATGATTAAGAAAATAATTGGTAGTATAATTCGAAAAATATAATCAACAATTTTTATCAAAGCTGCTGGTTGTCGTTCCGGTAAATGCGCATAATAAGGCATTTCATTGAACCATTGTGTCTTCTCATTACATTCATCACCAAAATTCTACAAAAATTTCAAATACATTATAGTTGAATTTTGATTTGCTCTTTTATTACTATCACTATTATCATTACTGTTATTTTATTCTTGTTGTTATTATCATTGTTATTGCCCATAAACAAATAGATTGATCTGAAAGCACTAATTGCATTTAAAATTTTTGGCTAAAAATCGGAAATAATAAAGCAAAAAAAAAATGCTAAAATTATAATTAAAAAAATTTACATATATTCGTTTCGATATTTTTTGTTTTTCCACTACTTTCTTAGTCATAAAAACAGATTGGAGAACGATAAAAAAAGCAAATGCAATAATTTGCAAATTCCAAATATCAATTGCTTTTAGATATGATGTTCGTGTAACATTCCATTTATTACTGATAGCCTAAAAGATATTTTTAAGAATGATACTTAAAGATTAATTTATTAACCTGAGCAAATTATCTATTTCAAGTTTCAATTTATGCATATTATATGGTTTTTGATAAAAAAAACTCATCGAAATTTGTTTTGAAAAATTTTGCAATTTCATAAAAGTATTTTTTACACATATTTGGATGTCTTAAATTTGAAAAAAATAAATAAATAATAGCAAAAATAATAATTATTATGAGATATTTTTTGTCTTTTTTTTTTTTCCTCACTTTTTTTTTCTATTTTTTTGAACAATAAAATAAGTATTTACAATGATGAGTATAGTGAAAAAACTTGTAGTAGTGATAACGAAACGATGCTTGGCCGAATTACTTGCAGCCCAAAGTGATAACCATGAGCAAAAAAATAGGATTGTTGTTGGCGCATATAGTGTCCAGATCCAAATCATTATTGATCTGGAATAATAATTAATGATAATAATAATAAATAACAATATTAATTAATAATAACAATAATAATGATAATGATTTGAAATATAACTAATGAAAGGCAATTAATGTATGAATAAATGACTGAAAGTTGAAGAAGAAAAAAGCGGAAATTTGAAAGACTTTGAATTAAACAGCAATTTTTAATTTTAAAGGATTGAAAGCGATCAAATTTCTGATATAAATTTTGCATACTTTACATATTTTTTTATTTAACTTCAAAGTTAAAGTTAAATTTCAAGGCAAGAAGAAAATATGAAAACTTCTTTTTTTTTTATATATTTACTTTAATTTCTTTTTTTAATCCAAAACAAAAAAAAAAAATCCAAATTTCAAACTTTTTAGAAAAAAAAAAAAAAAAAGAAATACCTTCTTAGACTTAGGATAATAGTTTTACCAATACGTTCACAACCAAGTACTATCCAAATACCCCAGCCAAGTTTTGATACTGTAATTGATGTTATTCCTGTCCATTGAGCTCGTGAATCTTCTAAAATTATTATTTTTAAATTATGAGAAAAAACAATAGAACAAATTTTATCATCAATTTTCAATCATTTCATTTACAATAATTACCAAAAAATGAAATTTAATTTGATTCCTTCCTTTTTTTTTTTTTTTTTTTGCTTCAATATTTTAAATTTTCCACATCAATTCTTTTTCTATAAATTAAGCTAAATTGCTCTAAACTTTAATTTTCTCTTTTTTTTTTAAAAAAAAATTAATTGTTTGAGAAAGATAGAAATAAAAATGATTACCGTTGTGAAAGATTAGTGAACAATTTCGTTCATCAAATGGAAATGAATGTAATTCATGAATTTCCATCGTTTTCACCAATAATCTTTAATGTAAATTATTACCACAACTTTTATTATATGAAATAACGAAAACTACAACAAAAGAATTTAAAAAAAAAATTTTTTTTTTATTTAAATTTATTATAGAGAATTTTATTTGAAATGTGCACATTTATTTTATTATTATTATTATTATTACTATTTCCGTTTCTATTTATATTATCTAATCTTTTTCATTCCGTTTATCATTTTCACCTGAATAATTTATACATATATAAGTAAATTCTATTAAAGATAGAAAAAGAAGTGATGATATAAATTTTAAAAAAGTTTTAAACCAAAGGAAGTTTATATAAACTTTTGTGTAAGTTCCACCATTCCATTGCTATGCAATTCCACTTCCTCTTTTCCAATCATTCGAATTTCCAATGCATTTAATATTGTAATTAATGGGTTCCAAATATAAGAGCCTAAAAACAGTTATTAAATAATTTTACAAAATAACAGCAATAATGACAATAATAATAATAATAATAATAATAATAATAATAATAATAATAATAATAATAATAATAATAATAATAATAATAATAATAATAATAATAATAATAATAATAATAATAATAATAATAATAATAATAATAATAATAATAATAATAATAATAATAATAATAATAATAATAATAATAATAATAATAATATAAAAAATAATAATAATAATAATAATAATAATAATAATAATAATAATAATAATAATAATAATAATAATAATAATAATAATAATAATAATAATAATAATAATAATAATAATAATAATAATAATAATAATAATAATAATAATAATAATAATAATAATAATATTAATAATAATAATAATAATAATAAAAATAATAATAATAATAATAATAATAATAATAATAATAATAATAATAATAATAATAATAATAATAATAATAATAATAATAATAATAATAATAATAAAAAAATAATAATAATAATAATAATAATAATAATAATAATAATAATAATAATAATAATAATAATAATAATAATAATAATAATAATAATAATTAATAATAATAATAATAATAATAATAATAATAATAATAATAATAACAATAACGATAATAACAATAATAATAGCAATAATAATAATAATAATATATCCCATGGATAGGTAACACAATGCACGGGAGAATAATTTTATTTTTTTCTATTCTCTGGGTAACTTTTTTTTTTTAAAAAAATTATCTTAAAATCTGTAAAATAAAAAAAAATTAAAATGAAATGAAATGAATTACTTGAGCGCAATCGGATATGTGCACCATTCGGTCGTTCCTTTTCATAAATTAATCGTTTTTCCACCCATTTTTGTCTTATTGTTAACCAAAAATTGCACTACAATAATATTTTAAAAAATAAAAAAAGTTTCTTTCTTTTCGTTTTGTTTTTAGTTTTTTATAAAATTCTCAACAATTTACGTTAGCATTGTTTACACGTAAACATTTTGTTTATACGTAAATTATATATAAACATATTATCACACAATTATACAAACAAAAGTATCCAATGTCTCTTCACTTTTAAAAATGGATGCATTTTTTATTTATTTACAATAAAAATATTAGATTTCACTGTGTTCTTTCTACCTTATTTGTCTGTCTCTCTTTTCCTCACTACCTCTCTCTCTCTCCTTTTTTTCTTTTCAATCATTGCAAAATAAAATTAATTAATAATAATTCCATTTGAAAATAGAAAGAAAGAAAATTTTTTAATTCCGAAACAAAATCTTTACTAACTTCATGTTCCATATCATTTAATATACGATCGATTGAAATATGTACAGCAACGGTTACATTATCTGATGAATCTGAAACAGATAAATGTTTAATTAATTAATTAATTAACAAAAAGCAAAATTTAAGAAGCAAAAAAAAAAAGAAAAAAACGGAAGGAAAACTTTGCATTCTTTAAGTAGTAAAGCAAATTGTCACAAACTTTTTGTAACATTTATTACTGAA